ATATTTTCGACTTCAAAATAGCAAGAAGCAACATATGTATATATTGCTCTTGTAATTTAGAAGGGTTCAAAATAACAGAGGTATTCTAGGTAGATTAAAATTACTGGTCCTACGATATTAATTCTAAATCTATCGAGAATTAAAGGACGAAGGATCCAGACCAACGGTCCTCGTACGGGGTAAACGCGAAAAAGAGGACTCACGGAAATGGGATACCGATTGCTGATTTTCAGCACGTACGACAGCAAATTTCCGGCGGTGGTTCCCCGAGAGGTTTGTCGGAGGGGGTATTTGCAAAAGCACGCTTAGCAAGAAACGCGCTGCGCGCGGCATAGAACGGTGATAAGGGGCAAGAGCCCGAGCGAACGTTAAGTTTAGAAACAAGTGCGATCGTAAAAGTTGCAAAGTTGAAGCCACCGCCCGGCCGACGAAGCGAAAACCCCGGGCGAAACAGGGCACTAGATATGAATCATGAAAGAAGCATAAAGATAATTGTATGCTAATAGGCGAAGCGTATGCGCCACGTCGCCTCCGAAACGGCTCAGCATCCACCGTTATTACCTACATACGTAGCTGCGTTATAGTCACGTATACACTGCGCACGTACGCTGTTCTCCTATCCGTCGTAAAGTTTCCGTGATACGACGTTGACACGATCTAATTCCGTATGATCAACTCTACCGTGAGCACCTAAAGAGGGGGGAAATGGATAACCTTCTACTATATACCTCATCTTTCTTTTATAACGTCTTGAGGTTCGCCGTTCCATCTTTACGCACTCTTGCGCTCGCCTTCAGCTTTACCTCCTGGCTGGTGTTCTGTGCTCTTTCTGTTCACCGACCAACCAGCCTTAAGCGCGATACTGTAATAATTTTGTTATTCGGCACGTTCAAGAAATATGAGATTTCGATTCGTATTCACTTGAGAACCAGAGACGGGCCACTGTTTCATGGTGAAAGTCTGTGACGATCATCATCCAACGGTCCTGTTCAGAAGTTTAACACATTTTGTGACATGGTGGTCATCAGAGATGGAAAAATTAATTTTGTAGATCGTAGTTTCTCAATTGTTTTTAGCTCGCCACCGGTATACTATCACTTATTGTCCAAATTTTTCGATCGTAGTTCTGTGTGTAATCTTTCAATCGTATACAGTTGGATTGAAAATAAAGAAAACAAACTTACTAGTATATCCCCCCACCCCCCGCCCCTCCACAGATTTACTCGACGCCTATGTTGGTAGCACTAACCATAACTAGACTGCGAATTTGATGCATTTATAGAATATCCGATTGTCTGAAATTCAATGCAGTAAAAACTCTCACGAAGTTTATTTAAATCTTCTTTTGTATTTCGAACATATTAGAACCCTTAACAGAGTGAAGAAATTTTTCTTTGCCTCCAGTTTCGAGAAATTAGTCCGTAAAATTCTATATTTACATAAACATCCACAGCCTATTCATAACCACGCGCCCACAATAGATTCACAATTAGAACTTCAAAATCTACTTAATTTGGTAACAATAAATTTATCCTGGTTCAGTCTGAATGGTGGATCACATTTATGCAAACCAAATGCAACTTCCCATGATATGTAAAATAAAAAGGAATTAGAAATTCAACGAACTGCCCTGTATTAATAAGAATACGATTTATACAACAAGATCAACAAGCAACTCCCAGGTTCACTATAAACAATATTTTACGAGAAAAAAAAACATAAGGATTTGGAGCTACTAATTTCGTTTATTCGAACAATTAATTTCACGAACGAATGGGGAGAAATTCAAGGGAAACGAAAATTTACATCGTGAAAAGTACCACTTAGATTTTTAAACTGACTGCTCTCGACGCCTGAATAAGCTTAAATGACGGGAGTTTATTGCTCCGAACAAAACATTTAGATATCCGCGAGAGCAACGGAATTTGCGATCCCCTCGTGAATCGGAAAAAGGCTGGATCCAGGCGTTCGAAAGGAACTCGTGAAAATGCGTGACACTGGCAGCGAATGCGGTGGGTGGTCTTTCACGAGGTCGTGAATTGAGAGCCGCGTGGGGATGGGCGACCAAGAAGAATCTCCTTGACCGTGTCGCCGACTTTTAGAGTCGATCGTCCCCAAGAGCTTTTACGGGTCTTGCCGGGAGGATACCGCCCCGCGATGTGTAAACCATGAGTCCGTCCGCGTGGGCCTTTGAAAACTCTCCTTTTCTTCCGGAAGCGAAGCCAAGGGGATAGAAAATGGAGTAGGCGGGTACGGCCTTGAAAATCGTAGCTCTTTCAAGATGGGAAAATACCGCTGGACAACCCTCAATAGACCTCACTTTCGATACTCAAAATGTGTATAATTTATAGTCGAAATAAAATCAATTAGTCAGGTACTCTAGCTAATTATCTGTTTTGAATGGAGAAATATTACTTTACTATAAAAATTGGAGTGTCTACGTTTAATCGAACTAAAAATAGCGAAACACTTTGTTTGAAGAGAAACTGTTTTAACCGCGGTAGCGTAATTTTGCTACTAACCTACAGGGTGAATTTCTCGCTGGAGGAGTCGAGAGGCAAGCCGTCAGTTCTGTCATTCAAGTGCCGCGACCATAAACAGATCATCGGTAGGTTACTCCTGCTGAGCGGTCTACGCGTGTCTGTGGATATCTGTGAGACAGAATGAGAACACTCGCCGAATGTTCCTGCATCCACTTGGAAAAAGTGTATAATTTCCCTGTATAAAACCCTGTATAACTTCCTCCATGAAGAAGTCGAGAGTGGAGGGAAGGGGAAACAAATATACTCTAATCTAAAGAGAAAAGATAACTATTTATCTAGAAAATAAATTTACCAATCTCTGCCTGCAATATGTGTCCGCATGTCATTTCTAATGATCACAATACAGTCTTTCTGACATTTTAATCCACAGTGTCAGATGGTGTTGAGCTTCACCCAAAGCCTCTAATGCTTCATTATCAAGTAAACAAGAAAAATACTTATGAAATTACCTGATACTTCTACACACTACTTAATAAAATAATTATTCGTTTCCAAGACACGTGAATCTTCGCCCTAATATTGCCGATACCTATAACGTTTACAATTAATAGATCCATCCACGGTCGTTCCTTTGTACACAGGCGCAAAACGTGTAAAGGTTAGAAGCCAACTGATCGAATTTTATGGAGCCTGTTACGAACCGATTTAGCAGAGCAAAATGACTGGGTCCTCCTTTGAAGGCATCTTCGAAATACCAAAGTGAGAATCGCACGGACAATTAAAGATGAACAATGCAGCGCGGAGCATCCTTGGTCCCCCGACGAAACTATGCTTAAGCCGAAGCCTGGTCATCCGTGTAGCCGTCTCTCCATTCAGTCGCGGTCGAAAGTCCTTCGAGTTCCACGCAGGGAACTTAAGTTTCCCCATGGTCGTAATTTCGGCGTCTCTACCCGTTGGTTGGAACACTAGAAGAGACATTCGACTCGTCCATAATAAAAGTGTCAGCGGAAACCGTCGCTTTGTCCCTCAAAGCGTGGCCGCCAACGTCACGTGCAACCAATAGCCGAGGCTTTACATGGTCGAGCGAACGATGGAGACCACTTTAATTTACGAAACTTGCTCGACATGCACGTCCAGCCGTTCAACGTTGATTTACTAACGTACCAGGTGGTGGTGGGGGGGTACTAAGCGGGCCGATTCGACAGGAAAACCGAACAGACATCGAGCGGTCGCGCGCGTGAGCTACGTACAAAGGATACTAGGGGTCCCTCTGATCGGAAACTGTCAATATTTGTCCGTGTCCGGTAATCGAGTAACCGAGCGATGAACCGTAACATCATCAATTATCTCTTACATACCCCTCCGCTCGAGCCTGATGTAAAATTTTGTCTGTTTCCAATCACCAACGAAACCGTCCAGCGCGACTAGGCTCACCGTCATCCCCTTCGAAACGCTCTACCATTGTCTCTCTTTCTACTTACCTAGAAAGAGAGGGAAACAGATAGATGGAGAGAGAATTGCCCCGGCCAGATTTGAGTAAACCGATGGAAATTGTCTCTGGACCGGCCCGAGAACAATAATGACCCAGTCGAAATTCCGCTCCGGTTGGAAATTGCTCGAGCGGAATGTCGAGAACTGGTGCTCCTCCATCGTTGAATCGATACTCCGGGCCCCCGTATGATGCGAGCCGTTGGGTTGGCCCTCGACGTGTGGAAACGCGGCTCGCTGACTCGCGCGGAATATCCTCCGGCGGGAATTGCTGGACGATCTGGGAGGCGGAGGGATATTTTGTAGCGCGCACAATTTCAAATGATACGAGTATCGTCGAACCACCTGGGACAACGTTTCCTGACAGTTCGGAACGGGGATTTTCTTATTTCACGCGGATCCGACCGTCGGGTCCAACGAGTTTGGACCACACATTCGAAGTACACTGCCGACTAAAAGTGTGGGACCAGAGCTCGTGATCGATGGAACAGTGACTCATTATTCTATTATGATATAATCAAAGTCACGGAGTCAGTATATAGCACGTTTAGTAATTATAAATGTTCAAAATGATGTCCATCAACTTCGATACATTTCTGCACTAATCCCTCTATCGTAATTATTTTATTATTTAAATCTACTTACTCTCGTATATTTGCGGCCCGAGCTCTTTTTTGTTATTTTCAGACGGGTGAAGTCAGTTATTATCTTGAACTTGTATTTTTGTTTCTTTATATAATAAGGAATAATAACTGAACTATATAACATATAATAATATAAGTACTAAACGTTTACGAAATAATAAATAATATATTAAAACGGGAATAATCAAAAATAGAGTGGGGACAGTACAAAAAGGCCTGTAACTTGAATCGGATTCGACCCGGACCTTACCATTCGAGGGTTAATTAATTATCAAACCTGGTCCCATACTTTTGGCCAGTAATGTACGTTCCCGACCACGGATTGTTCTTTGATATTAGTAATCGTGGAATTGCTTCGAGAACTCATACATGGAGTACAGCAGTCTCGTATTTATTTATATTTAATTTTAGTGATGTTAAAAGTAGACGTGCTGCTGTGGCTACCTGCCGGATTCGTTAGACGTTACAAAAGGATGCACTAATACGTTACACGCGACTTCCGGTATGTATGTTCATTTCCCTCCTTTTTTTCTGATTTCGTACATTAAATCACATTTAATTCGCTAAAAAACATCTAATAATTATAACTATTCGTGTGTTGTCTTTGTTTCCAGCGACCACGGGGGCAACTTCAAGATTCTAACACTCTAGTACGACCGAAGAAAACTGCGCAAGCTTTACACGAGACTTGAGTGGGAGGTGTGATTGTTATAACTAAAAGATACTTGAATTCTTTTCGGTATATATATCACATTCGACGTGACAACTGAACACTGGCCCACGAAGCTTCAAGCGTTGTTTTGGTTGCATATAGCCACATCAAAAAAACATATACACATCATCGTGGGAATACTATACACTGTCGTAGATTCTCTCACGGAACTGTTTATTCGGTCAGGCTGGGAGTATGGGGTAGAACGCGAAATCTTTGGAAAAAAAAATCGCCTAAATCAGTTTAATTGCTTGCCGCAGCTACGCATCTCTTTCACTAAAGCAACTTCTGTGGGAACGATCGGCAGCGTGTATTCGAGTGTACCTTTTATATTCGGTATGGAAAAAGTGTGTTGGACAAACAGAGACGTTTGTACCTTCGCTGGTCCGCTCGTTACCTTGGTGTGTGTGTGTACGTCTGTGTTTGATCGTTTTTAAGTGTATTGCACGTCTGATTGCGATTCCTCTGTACATGTTTGCCAGGCTATGTATCGAAAATTTGAACGATAGACCCGTACAAACAGTTTGTTCCTTTCGTCGTGGACACGTTCTCTTGATAAAATAGCCAGGCGAATTCCGTTTGAAGTGACTTTATGCGATGTAAAGTGAATTTATGTGACTTGATTCTCTCTCTCTCTCACTCTCTCTGTGCACACACACATATATATACATACACACACGTGTTTCACTCGTGGCGTTCACTTGCTCCCGTCTATATAAACTCCTCTTTTGGCGTTCACCACTACCCAGCTAAGGAAACCGTTTTCGATTGAAAAAAAATATACATATAGAATCTCTTGTTACCGGCTGTTCCGAATCGTTCCATCCAAGTTTTACGTCGTTATTTAGTTAAAGAGATCGAAGCTGACGCGGAATATTAGCTATAATTTCGGTATAGACTGTGGTGGCGGGGGCACCGTTAGATTGTGGAACTCGTCGAACGATTTTTTCGCCGCATTCTGAAGATCGTCCATGCCCCGTTTCGTGATGCTCGTGATATCGTCGATCTGACGACGTGTTTGATTGAGCAGATCGTCTGTCGACTTCACGGCCGAGGTCGCGATATCTTTCACTTCCGACTGGAGCCTCTCGATCACCCATTCCATCGCTTGTCGTCCCTGAAAGGCAATTCAGTGCAGAAAACACCTTATTACTCCGTGGACTTTTTCTTTCGCGACCTGGGGATGTCCCGACTTCAGGGTTAATTCGTAAGGTTTCGTTTCGGAAACCGACACTTTCACTGATTCACTAATCTTGCAGTCTTCCAGATTCAATTCAAACATCCACTTGATTTCTACCTAACTATCCCACACGTAAGCTCACTTACACTCGATTCATAGTATATTTTGGACATTCACTCTCAGATTCAATGTTTCAAGCATGTAAACTCGATACATAAAATTCGAATATCATGCATATCAACACATTCAGTTGAAAGTTATTTGTCGAAGAGGCAGTAAGATCGTTCCGATTGTCACAGAGCTGGGCAAAAAAGCAATCTGACGAACCGTTCATTTGTATCATTAATTATTAATCACGAATTGATTCCACCGTCGATTATGACTATACTGCGGATCTATATGCAAAATAATATTTTATACAGTGATTTAGAAAAACAGAATTAAAAGTAAAGACTTCTTTCTCCTGTTAGGAGGTTTACTGCGTTTAAAATATAATGTGAAATATATTAAACTTGACGAAAGTTTCGTCTCCTATTGCATTTCACATACCTACTCCTTTAAACTATAAATGCATAACATCCGCAGTCTAATTATGACTGACTGTGTTGTGGAATAAATGTAATAATTATGGAATAAATTTCATTCAATCAGAATAAGGCGACACAATTTTTACAAAATATATAAGATTCACATATTTCCCTTTATAAATCGAATGATTAAAAATTACTTCTTTATACATTATATAAACGATTTATCACCAATTACTTTTACAACAATCACCACTTATTGCTAAGCTCTGCTCTGAACAATCCCTGTCAGGACACTGAAAGTACCAAAGGTAGGAAGAATCGAATAAACGACTTACCTTTTTCGCATTTTGCTCGATCGTCATCGTGAGCAATCTCTCCATCTGGTCAATTAGGGGAACCCCCGAGATCGAAATTATTGCCTGTTGTGTCAACAGTGTCTTCTGCGGGTCCTTAGGGTCCGGTTTGTATCTGACCTCTTCGCCAACAGAGACATGCTTGCCCAGGCTCACCTGAAACCAGAGAAAACAATACTTGAACCAGTCAGAACAATTTCAAGAAATTGTTGTCATTAGACCAGCCGGCGGTCTCTCATTTCGAGTTACGTGTGTTCCCCTTGTATCGACCGTGTTGTGCAACGGCACGGCGCCTCGGAGGTTAGCAACCTTCAGATAGATGGTTAGCCCCCATTATCGAGATAAAACGTTTCCACGAAAGTAACGTCAAGCCTTGAATAATCGATGCAACGAAATATACTCGTGGCAGAGACGTGCGCTTCGAAAGCGGTCCTCGTAACATAGCTAAATCGTTGCTTGCTGATCGCTTCACTAGCATTGTCGGGCCTCGTTATTTCAGCCATCGATTGCGAAATAAAACTTGTTTTGCAACTAGTCAAAAAGAAAAAGAAACGCGAGTTCCTTGTTTCATTCTCCTCCCCGTCGGAACGGTTGAAAATAATTCGCCGATTTCCTTTCATGAATTCTGACCTAATATAAATAAATACCATATAATAAATGAGTGGATTCATCTACTAACTATTCAATAAAAACTAGCTCTTGATGCAGGGTCCATGGAATTGAGTTGCGTAGACAGCTTACCGTTGTCTGACCATTAACCACATATTCCCCTGATTCGAATTCCACGCGTCTCATTTAATCTATTGCTTGAATTATTATTCTACCACCAGTGTCCAGAATTAACCCTCGAATAGCAAGATTCGGGTTGTGTCCAACCAAAGTTATGGATCCTCTTATGCTGTCCCCACTCTATTTTTTATTATTCCGGTTTTAAAATACTTTTTATTGTTTAGTAAACGGTTCATACTTATATTATCATTTGTTATATAACACAATTATTATTTCTTATTATGTAAATAAGCAAAAATACAAATTTAAGATAAAAACATTCTTTGCTCGTATAAAAATAATAAAAAGGATCTCAGGTCAGATCTAACCGCACCTTATCATTATGACCTCAAAACCCTCCTTACCAATCAAGGTATCAAAATACAGATTGTACTAATACAAACACTATAAAATACAATTTAATTCAGTGAGACTCTGGTAAATAGATTTAATTAACACTAGAAGTACCAAAGTAATAAAAATGACTGATGAACAGACCGTTATATTGATGATTAACATGTTACAATAATACATTTCCTCAGACCTTTCACAACTTTCTTTGCAATGCAAAAATGAAAAACTCAGTTAATTTATAAATTTGAATATTTTAAAAAGCTTGTTATATTTATCAATCCGATAGAAGCAGATATACGTTTATCGTCGATAGTTCTAGGGTTAACCCTCGAGCTTGATAATGTTTGAATCCATTTTAACCCACCAATTATAAGTATAAAAGTAATACAGTGAGCTACCAAAACCAACATATTCCTAAGAAATTCATTCCAAAGCACATCTAAAGGCAGACAATCAAGGGTTTACTTGACCCCTGATACTACCACCTACTCGACCATCGAAAACAAGTAAATTAGCTCTCACACAAGCCTTTGATTGCCAAGTGTCGAACGACAAACTGTACAATTAACTGAACCACCGCGTAGAAGGGTTGAGCAGGGCCCAAAGACGAGAGGGCGACAAATGGAATGCAACGATCTACTATGGTCCACGTGTCTCGGGGCGTGTACCAGTTTTATCGAACCTGATGAAGCGGTCGTGGGTACCGAGATAATGACGATGACGTGTTCACCGTTCCGAAAATTGCATCATTATGAGCCGTTGCGGCCGTGGACTCATTCGCCGCGCGTAGCGTGAAGCACTGCCGCCGGCCCGCGGAGCTGGAACAATTGAATAGCGCGCGGGAAGGGGAGGGGGAGGAGGAGGAGGAGGAGGAGGCAATACGTTTCACGGGGGAATTAACGCCCGCGGCACATTGTGGATCCCACCCTGGGCCGAGATAGAGAGACGCGGGGTCCTCTCTATACTCTCCGCCATATTGGCAATCAGTGAAGTCGACTGTGTTACATCCGCGACTAACCCGCCCTCGCGTTCCGTCCGCCCCCTCGCCCCTGCATCATTCTCACCCACAAATTCGCGATCTTGCAACCCCACCACGTACAATTGGAGAAGCGAGGGAAAAAATTTACGGCTCGCATCGAGTGGCGTTTCATCAATTACGCGGACCGCGGATTAGAGAAAATGGTTTAATTCGTCAGGGCCAGATCACCCATCAGGGGACGCCCCCTGTTCAACCCTGTGTGTCGAATATAGTTCTTTGTCCCACGGTATTGACCGTGGCAGTGTCATTCACTCTGCAAGGAACGTTTGTATCCGTTTGTTTCAATCCGTTTTCAATTCGTTCGAAAGCGTTTTCGACAACCGCATGATATTACCGGGGGTATTTTGTTAATTTATTAGACGTCGTTTACAGGTGAGCGTGACGGGTTCGAAGTTGGTGGTCGAAGGTTTCACGCGGGATAAGGTGTGTATGTAACTTTTAGGTCCCGACGCAGGGAGGACGACGTTAGAAGCAATGTCACCGTGAAAACTATGAGGCGAGTAAACACGGTTCTTTTCAGTGGAAGTAATTAGCACTTTGCGTCCCTGTTCGCGCCATTATCGTTCAAGCGCGTCGGGGGGATACGCTGGATCAGGGAGGTGGGAGCCCAGGTGGATATTCAGAAGACACTAGGCGTGGGGATTTGAGGAGTGGGAAAAAGACAGGTGGGGGTTGTAGGGCTATAATTGGCCAGACGAACGGTCTCATTGTAATTTTCATAACGAGTAAATGTGGTGACGAAACCCCGTGGCTCACTTGAACGTTATTCTAGTCCATGTCGAAGTGTACCCAGTGTTACTCCCTTCGATGTAAAAAGAACTTAAAAACACGACCACGCTAAGGAAAATTTTGTTTCAAATCACCCCAGGAATCGCCCCTTTCAAGAACATTTTTGGTACACCGTGTATTGTAACTCAACAGACAAATTATTTATTAGCAGTTGTACAACGTAATTATATTGGGTTGGTAAGAAAGTAATTTCGGTTTTGTAGTGTGAAATAAAACTCATTTTTTTTATACAAAGAATAAACTTTAATCAATTATATATTTTCCATTTTGTTCAATGACCTATTGCCAT